CCCCACACTGCCCCCACTCTGTCAATCTCCCACTGTGTGCTGTTGGCTCGTTAGGCGGCGGCGGCTTCAATAATTGAGCAATTATTCATTCAAATGGATTGCCAATTTCGCTGGCCAGCCTCCCAAACGAATGCACAACGCCCAAGCCAATTTAGCAACATGGCATCGCATCCCATCGCATCGCATCGAAGTGCAATTGCGATTGCAATTATAAAACAATCACTTGTCCGGCTAGGCGGCTCCCGGTCGCCACCTTAACGGCAGCCCATTATTTTGGGGCGGCGGCGGCGGACACGCAAATTGTGCTTACTTAATAAGTCGTACAACCTGCTAATGTGAGCAATTTACCAAAGGAACACTAACACAACCGCAACCACATCCACATCCAGATCCACATGCACATGGATTGGGTCTGCAACTGAGCTGCGGGTTGTCTTCGCGCATGCGCAAAACGCGATTGCAATCAGCAGTAGCACAGCCAGGGAACAGGGCTGAGACTGCTCGTTGTGGCCAAGACCGAACATTGGATGGAGTGTGTGTTTATGTGTGTGAGTGTGTACGTGTGAGTGTGAGTGTGTGCACAATGAAAAGGTGCGAGCTTAAAGAATTTATGGGCCAGCTTGAGACATCGATAAGCACAAGCAGTAGTAGCACGAAAAAACAAAGTCGCTTGGACAGCGCACCTAATTATTATAAATAAACCAATCGAACAATAAAGATCTGCTGGCCAACTTTCCACGAAACTGTGCACAGTTGTGGCCATAAGAACTTAATCGCAAATGAGATTCAGAGCTGCACCAAGACGCAGACTGAGGCAACGCCATCGATAACACAATCGATGGATGAGGCAACGGGGGCAACTGCACCCGAAAAAGCCGAAGCCGAAGTCGAAGCCATGCCTAACAAGCGCTTGCCACGGCTTGACGAGGCAGCAGCTCGGCTGGATTAATCGCTGACATGGGCCAAGGAGTCAGTCCATCAGCTCCCCCACTCCCAAATCCTCAGACCGCAAACTAAACTGAGCCCCAGATAACGCGCTGACGTAGTTAAACATATTGTAATTGCTGCTGCTGCCGTTTGGCGAAAACGGGTTTCGCATTGCAGCTAAAGTTGGGAGCTGCCTGCTGAAGTCTGGTCATTGTTTCGCCCCTGGTCCGCTGTATCTCGGGCTTAGCATCAGATTACCACTCTATGTGCAGACAAAAGGCGCAGCAGCGGCAGCAACAGCAGCAGCACGGCAATCAATAAGTGGAAGGCGTCGCGACGTTGTTGTCGTCGTCGTCGTCCTCATCCTCATCCTCATCCTCATCCGCATCCCCAAGCCCGAACCCCATCCTTAGTCTCGCTCATGCTCTTTTCGGCATCTGATTTTTGTGGATCAGCCAAGCAGCCAGTAAGCCAACCAGCCAGCACAGTAGCCGATTCGATAATTTGCTACGGCATTCCAAGTGTATGTCTCCTTATCCCGCTTGTCAATCAAGCTCCTAATTATTCTTTGAATGCAAAAGATAATTGGCGTTTCGGGTGCCACGGCCAGCGACCATATCAATTTCAATAAGAGCACCAATAACAACAGACGAGAACTGATCCCAAATCACCATTCCAGTGATCCTGTGACAGTTTTGTGGCAATTATGACAAACAATGCGGCTCTGTGGAGCTGTTGCTCGGCGAGACTCTGTGGCATCATTCATCCTCATGCCTAATCAACACAACTAAATTCCAATTAAGTCCATAAAGAGCAACCACTAATAGTTAATCACCTTACGAAGAGCGAAAAACTAACCGCAATGCAGCGAAGCAATAATGCTCTTGTTTAAACTTCAAATTCTCATTAATTATAATAAGTTTAAAATAATATTGGTATATACAATTCTTTACAAGTGTTATTCATTGCTAATAAAATATTAATTTATAAACGATTTATAATGATTTTTCTATGATTTGCATTTTAAAATCAAAGAACGACACAAAGTCTCATTTGTTTGACTTTTATCTTTATATCGTTAGTTATCAATAACTCAACACATGTAAGATTTATGCATTTATTTATTTCTGCAATACCTTATAAGTAATTGCAAAAATCAGTAGCTTATAGCTGCCAAGTGTACTTGCTTAATTATACACATAAATTAAGGTAATCACCTGTTTTGAATAAACTGAGAACAATAAAAATCCATAAGTAAATTGTATTTACATATTGTAATGACTGTTAATACATTTGAGAGTTTCGATTATTTAATTTTGCACATATTTAAAACATATTACATAAATGGTAGTATATATGAGCCCTGCCCTATTCGAATTTAATAAATTTGATTTCCTTTATACTGTTTCGATTAGGTTACTTTCCTTCTTTTTACATCTTGGATAGTCCCAATTATTTATAGTTCGTTGTGTTTTTAGTTCTTAATATTTGTGTACAACTACTAATTAATTTACATCTCCATTATTGTTTATTGTATACATTTTTAAATATTTATGCCTTATATTATTCCATCCATTTGCATACTTGGCAGTCATATTCAAGAATTTCACGTCAATTTATTGGCGCTGATCGACAGATTAGAATCCAAATTCAATTGAATCGAGTGCTCTGTTAGCGTAAAGATAATCATAAAGCTAATATGCCAGCAGCAGCTGGCGAAGAGCATCGCCAGAAGCAGATACAGCAGCAGTAGTTGGAGCAGCAGTAGTGTGATCGTCAGCTAATTCATTTGGCATCCCAGCAGGTTGCCAGTTGCCGACGTCGAGCTATCTATGAGTGGTAATCAATGCAGAGAACTGCTTCACATTCACACATTTATATGTGTGCGTGTGTGTGTGTGTGTCCTAGTCCTGGCAATTCGGCGAAGTCGTCGAGTAGACGATCGCAGCGCATAGCTTTAAGTGTAATGAAATCACACGTAGAAAAAAGACTGAAAGAGAGAATAGGGGGGCATATCGAGGCTTTTTACTCTACTTTTATGTGCAGTTGTGTAAAACGATTGGCGCGTTAATCAACGTACAAATTTCCTACTTATATGGCCAGCGAATTAAATCGTTCCCTGAAGATCGCTTTCCAGCCAGCCAGCCAACCAGCCAGCCATCGAGCCATATTGACAGCTGGCGATTAGAACTGGAGCGATAAATTATACAATTGCCATGCGTGAGACCTGAGCTGGGCAGCCAGTTGGCTGGTTGGCCAGGAACAGGTCCCCCAGCTCATCGCCTCTGACAATTACACTGATTATATTAAATATATGAGGTCCATATATGGGTTACACTGGGGCACTGCTGCCATGGGAGTGTTAACTGTTAACTGTTTGTCTGCATGCGCATACATACAAATTTTCACAATTATTTGCTGTGGTGCAATTTGTGCTGCGCTGCGCTGCCCCGCTAAATATGCACCACAAAAACCAACAGCAACAAGCGCACAACACGAAAACTATGCAAATTACTAGAAGGAAAAACACAACACTAAAAAAAAAAAGGAAAAGAGCAAAAGAAAAAGAAAAACAAGAATAAAGGCCTGCATATTTGTTTGTTGTGAACGTTGTGGAAAATCAATTAAGTTTGCTGAAACCTTTTGAGCTAAGCACTAAACAATTGCGCATAATTACACACACCGGGTCCCAACTGCATTGCTTCAATTTGTGCATTTGCATACGAGTAGTGGGCAAACGACAACAACAACAACAACAATAACTAACAACAATTCAAGTTCTAAATGGAAAAGCTAATGACCTCAGAATCGAGGAAATACCCACAACACACAGGCCAAGGCACAATTCGAATTCCAGACGGTTTTCTTTCAATGAATGCCAGCGATTTATAATAGACGTCTACTAAGTAAATTACATATAAAAAAAAATATGGGAGTGGGCCTCACGGAAGACGTAAGTTTCTGATCAACTGAATATAAAGCTAACTTTATTATTAAAAAAATACTTAGCTACTTTAAAAAATGCTTAAGAGTATTTGCCTTGCTTAGATATGAAAAACAAACATTTTCAAAGAAAAATTGAAAATTTAATAATAATTGTTAATGCATGAGTAAATAGCAAGAGTTTCGAACTCGAACTTCCCTAATTGTAACTAAATAATATTTGCAGTTACAAAACATATTCTAAACTATTTAGTCAGTGACACTCGAATACCAACTTTTTTTTATTTATTATTTTATTTCATACATATTTTTTAACAACCTTATTAATAAAAAAAATTAAAATGTATAAAATGAAAATAAAAATTTGCTACATTGGTTCATGGTCACTCGGTAAGGAGAACTGCCCCAAATAAGAATTATCGAAAAATTATAATCGGATATAAAATGCTATTTTTTTAAGCATTTTTCTTTTAAGTTTTCAATGCGCTTTTGAATTTAGTATTTACGAGAAATCAAGAAAAATGTCTCTGTGAAATTTTAAAATGTACTTTATTGCTATCAAAGGGTGATCATAAGTATATATACATGAACACTATACATAACTACAACAGTCTGGGGTTGTAAAAAGCAATTATATAGAGAGATTTATAAACAGCACTGTTCGTTTGATCATTGTTATTTTCAGCTTTAAATCATTGCAATAAATCTGAATTTATAGTTATTAGAGTTTCTACAAATGTATGCGCATTTAAATTCTTAAGAAAGAATGTTTGGTTCAAGCTTTGAGCAAAAGTGCACTTTATGGCGAGTCCTTAGGAATGTGCGCCAGGAATGCGGGCAGACCGGCAGTTATATATTTCATTTAATTTTTAGTAAGGTGTATCGTAGTAGGCATTGCTGAAACAATACTTTGAATTTTCATAATTTTTTATAGACGCTACAAATACATACTTGCACGAAGTAAGCCAAGGAAATAGCTGGCAATGCGTTGCACTGCTTATTGCTTGTGTTTATTTTACTTGCTTATCTAAAATTGCTTGTTTAAAATTGATTGCGTGCGCGCCAAATGAGGCAGTCAGCTGATTACCTTTCTGGCAACACCAAATGGCGAATGTGTGGTAAGTGTGGTAAGGCGCTCGAAAAGAACCGATAATAATAATACTATCGATACGTATAACGACGAAATATCGAAAGAAACGCTCGCGAATCCCACGAAACAGGCAACGCAGAGGAAAAACAAAATCCCAATCGAATTGTGAAAAGTTGTACGTTCGCGCTAAACTCAATACACATTACTTAGTTAGAAAACGCAATTTGTGGGCTAGAGCAAAGTGAATGCTTTTGGCGAACGTAGATTAGTGCTGTTAGCTAAACAAAGCCCTCAAAGTTACCTTCACCACCGCCGCCACCTGCACCTGCCGCTCCCTTTCCAATAAAATACTATTTTTTGACGCACACCACAACAAAAAAAAAATAAAAAGAAAAACGAAGAGGAGAAAAGAAAAGAAGAAGAGAACGCCAATAACATTTGCAGACGATTCTATTCGCTTTGCGAAATCGAAATCCAAGACGAAGGCCAACGCCAGCCGATTAACACAACAGCCGAGCCAGCGACCAAAACAGAAAACCCTACAAAACAGAGCAACAGCAACCACAACAACAACAATAACAACAACAACAAATGAAGGCGACGCTCGAAAGTTAAATGTAGATTTTCGCAGCAAGCGCAATTTAGCAAAGTCACGCCGCGTCAGCTATACAATTAACAATTGCAATATAAAATATCAACTCATCACAGCTCAGCGATGTCCATACGGACGCAGGTGCTCGGATTCGTGGATGTGATGATGCGGGTGCCGCCCATCATCGTCATCGATGAGATTCTCAAAATAGGCATGGGTCTCCCAACGCAACTGAAAACAGGCACCGAGGAAACACTGACAACCGTTGAGGCCATCGGCAGCATTAACAACAATAGCAGCGGGAGCAGCGGCAGCAGCACCACAGACACATTTGCCACAACGCTCAAGGCGTTATTTGGCATAGGGAGCAGCGCAGAAGCGTCACAGAACATCAGCCAAGCCGATATGCTGGAGCACAGCATTGTGAATGCCTCGAATTCGGCACAGGCCGGCGGCATGCTGAGCAGCAACTTCAACAGCATCATGGACGAACTGGCCACCTGGCCAACATACTTAATATAACGACGGTGAAGTTTGTCGTCTGTTTGCTAGGTGAGCGATCGAGCGATCTCTGGCTAAAGGCCGCTTATCACTTCCATACACATACTTATCATATACATACATATATACCTTTATATATCATATATTTGTACTTTAAACCTTTCGTGGGGCAATGGCAGGTTTCTTGTGCGCTGCTTGCATTTTCATGCTGTGGACGCGGCATTTGGTGATGGTTTATATGTTTCTAACATCGCTGGGACTCACCTTCCTCTCCTACTGGTCGAATGTCAGTGCACTGGCACTAATGGAGCACAGTCCGTGCATACTCGAGGATCTAATGTCGATGAACACGACCAGACTGCTCGATTCGGGTGGCGTCATCATGACTCTGGCGCCACATATCATAGCACAATGGTTTATGGGCATGCTCTTTGCCTATATACATCTGGGTCCACGATTTACGCTGCTCCAGAAGGCGATGCCCATCATATTTACTAGTCCAATTCTGATTGCCATGTTGCCCCTCTCACCGAGCATTGTGGACAAGCTGCCCGTCGTTGCCGGACTCACGCCCATCATTCTTACAAAAATCACCCTGATGCAGAGCGCAATGGACGCCAGCCGAACGGTATACAATGGCTACCAGTATGCCATGAACTTTGTATCCAACTTTGGACTCTCCGCGCTCATTGAGAATGAATGGCAGCGACTCAATGTGCCAAGTGTGTTGCGTCTCTTTTGGACCATCAGGTATGTAAAGTAAAACATAAAAATGTTCTTAAAATTGTAATCCTAATTTGTAAAGCATAAATTTCGAATTATTGGGATATTTTTCTTGTTATCTTCTATTTGAAAATGTATCAATTCAATAATTGGACAGCTGAGCACGCATTGTCTAAAGTTAGACACATTTTGTATAATGACACAACAGAAAATTTAGACACTGTTTGGTTAGTTAAGTTCATTTTTCCATTAGCAGATAAATAATTTATTTTGTGCTGAGTATTAAATACTATACCTCATAGTTCATAATGATTGTGCATAAATTAAATATTGCTTTTTAAATATTATTAATAGTAATTTTGATCAAGATTGCTTTAAGAACATAAATTTTTTTGATAAGGAATTGATGTTTCTAGCGATGGGTGTCAGCTATGTGATAAGCGATAGGGATACAAGTACACGAAATAATATGCTCATGATTTTTGAACGTTCTTAACTCCACAGAATTGTGCAGGGCGCATATGCCTTGTTGACAGCCGAGACGGATGAGCCGCTGCTACTGTTGCCAACGATCGAGAAGCTGCTCGTGGATGGGTGTGAAACGTTGACCGCCGTGCTGGGCATGACTGGGGTCATTTCGATGGTGTGCCATTACATTGGACGCATCTTTCAGTGGTATCTGCTGACATATGACAACGACGAAGAGAAATCCCTGGGCACAGTTTCGGCGGTGCTCTTCTATATCCTTGCACTGCAAACTGGGCTGACATCCCTGTCGCCGGACAAGCGTTTCGTGCGCCTGTGTCGCAATCTATGTCTTCTGGTCACGGCACTGTTGCACTTCCTTCACAACATTGTGTCACCCATATTGATGTCGCTGAGTGCAGCACGGAATCCATCACGAAAACGACATGTGCGCGCCTTATCCGTTTGCGCCTTCCTCATTTGCATGCCAGTCGTGCTGCTTTATTATCTATGGGCGCAGCATTCACCCTCCACTTGGCTGCTGGCGGTAACTGCCTTCTCCGTCGAAGTAATTGTTAAGGTATGTATGTCGAATGATGTTAATTTAAATCAGTTGATAACTAATATAATATTAATAAAATGTATGCCATTGCAGGTGCTTGTGTCGCTGGCTACCTATACGCTCTTCCTGCTGGACGCACGTCGACAGTTCTTTTGGGAGAAACTGGATGACTATCTGTACTATGTTCGCGCCTTTGGCAATTCCGTCGAGTTCTGCTTCGGCATCTTGCTGTTCATTAATGGCGCCTGGATCTTGGTCTTTGAATCGGGTAAGTGACCAATGCAAAGATGCTGCAGGCTGTCGTCGTCATAGTCAAATTACATTAACACATTCAGCAAAAGGATTGTAAAAAAAAGCATTGTATTCATTGTATTTAATGCATATTCACCATGTGAGTTGTTGTGTGCTTCTGTCCAGCTTTTTTGTTCCGTGTGCATGTAATTTTATTATTTGGTTGACTTTGTGTACCGATAACTATAACTTGATAGCCCGAAATGCTACAGGCGGCGCCATCAGAGCGATCATGATGTGCATTCATGCCTACTTCAACATCTGGTGCGAGGCCCGAGCTGGCTGGTCTGTGTTCATGAAGCGACGCTCAGCGGTCCACAAGATCTCAGCACTGCCCGAGGCGACACCTGCCCAACTGCAGGCCTTTGACGATGTTTGCGCCATTTGCTACCAAGTGAGTGCTCTCAACACTTTTTCCATTAATTCTCTTAATTCACCACTTCTTGCACACAGGAAATGTACTCGGCAAAGATAACACGATGCCGTCATTTCTTCCATGGCGTTTGCCTGCGGAAGTGGCTCTATGTCCAGGACCGCTGCCCGCTGTGCCACGAGATCATGATGTACACCGACAAGGCGGAGGAGAACGCTCAAGAGGCTGACCCAGCGAATGCGGCACAAGCCGAACAGCCTCTACGCATATATCCACGAGACGTAAGTGTCCATTGCTTGGCTGAGTAATAGCCCGGGTTTGCCAGTGGGAATTGTTAGATATTATATTTAATTTTCACTCAGGACGGTGCCAATGCCGGTGCGCCGCGTCGATCACCCGAGCGTGCTGCAGAAGTTAATGCTGACCATCTGCCGACATCGAGCAGTGCTGCAGCAGCTATTGCGAACATTGATAATGCGATAGCCAACCTCACGAATGAGGCGAATGCCACGATTGCGGCTGAGGCGAGAGCAGCCGTTTCCAGCAGCAGCAGCAGCACAAGCAACAGCACCAATGTCAGTTACATAACGGCGTCCGGTCAACCAACACCATCGACGGCCACATCGGCGGCTGCTGTGGCTACGGCTGCGGCCAGCAATACGACTCATCTATTTCGGTTGTCACAGGAACAGCAGTGAAGTGTAACGCTATTCCTAATCTTAGCATACCATTTGTAACTGTTCTATGTGTTAGTGTACTTATGTAAAAATGCAAAACTCCTAAGCGAAATACTGGTCCGCTTATTGTACGTTTCGTGGAACCTATTCCTATACTACATACTGATCCTCACATACACGCACACACACACATTACTCATAGACGTATTCATGCACATACACAATCACAACCACATCCATTTGGCTTCAATTCCACAGTAAATTACATTATATATCATGCATATAAGCACCTACCCACACGTATATATATATATATATATATACATATACATACATATACATATATATATATATATATATACATGTAAATGATCGTGCCGAACGAAACGTGAACTCAATCAGAGATCTTTCTACATTAAGTTTATGGTAAAAAGATGACCCAAAAATGTTGAAAATGGTTAGTTTTAAGTTTACAGTGAAATGGTGTTAAACAACAACAAAAACAAAACAAACAAAAAAACAACAGCAAAAAAAATAATGCGGTGAAGTCTGAAAGTGATTTAATCAAGTACCAAGTAAAACAAAAAAAAACTAGTTAACGCAAGATAATTTTATGATGTACAAGAAAATTAAATTAGCTAATCTTTGTTTTCTAATTACTTATTTAATTTAATTAAACGAAAGGAGAACGAAAAATTACAACAACAAATACAGTACAATATGCTAGCAATAAACAATTGACCCGTATTTTCAGTAGACTACAAAATTGGTGGAACTTTTGGGCTTGGCCAGCGGTTTCGCAAAGTTCATCCTTAGTTAATTTAAACATCTTAGGTTTTTTCATTTTTTTTTTAGAGTGAGAGAGAGAAGAGCAAAAAGTCAAGTTGGTTAATTGGAAGCAAACTTGTAAGGCAGCTTATGTATAAAAAATAAAACAAAAAGTCAGCGATTTGTATCAAATTTGTATATAGAACATACGCATATGTAACTTAATGACAAGTATTTTGTATTGCAACATGTTTATCAAAATACAAAATTGCCTTAAAATGAACCACATTTGTTTCTCATATTTAATGTTCGAGTTTATCAAATATGTTTTTCTTTAACTAGGATACAACGATAATTTAACATAGAACACCATTTATTTAACTTCTGACGCGAATTTGCCACTCGCTCCTCTAGTTGAAAATCAAGTCGTTGTAGTTGCGCAACAGATGATACGGCGAGACGCGACAACAGGTTGTGGTGCGCACCACCGTAATGCGATCTGCACGCTCGAAGTTGGCCTTCACCGTTTCATAGTAACGACCATCGCTGTGGATTTGGATTCGGATTTGGAGAACAGTCAGCAAAATAGAGAAACATATATCGAATAAACAATTGAAGGCTTACCTCAAGACCATGCAGCGCAGCTTGAGGCACTTGACACGTAGAATATCAATTGCCTTCTGGCTTTTGTCGGAGAAACGCAAATTATCCGGATCCCAACGCAGCTCCAGACGCTCCAAGTTGCCACAGTTGGAGGCAATGGTATCCATCAGCTGATCCACGTGTATATTGACGCCCAGCTTCTCAGCGGTGCCCATCACGATTATTCTGATGAGTTAAATGATTATTTATAGTGATATCAGTCAAGTGATTCACTCCGTTCTACTCACTTGCAGTTGCCCAGAACGGGCAGTATGCTCATCCATAGTTGATCCGTAATGTGAGGCATGCCGGAGAGGCAGCAAGCGCTCATCTGATGGCCATAACGCTGCAAGAACTTCAGCAAGCCCTCATCTGTGATATTATCCGAGGAGTCCAAATCCAATGATGTGAGGGATCTGCCATGCAATTATTGGATATATTTACAAATATAAAAAATCCACAAAGCAAAACTAGTATTCTATTAAACAAATTATTTCTTCGTCCAAACAAATGTAAATAAAAATACCATAAATAAAAATATTAAAGATTAAATTTTTCGAAATATAAAAGATATACGAATGAATTTAATATAATCTAAAAAATTATTCCAAACAAATGTACATATAAATGCAATAAATAAAAATGAAAAACTCCAAGTAAAATCGGCTAATTTTAGTTAATATTATTAATATTCACCTGACATTGCCCAACTCCATCCATTGTTTCAGGACGGTATCGTTGAATCCGTTGATTTGGCCAGCGGACAAGAACTTCAGATTGGGTATACGCGTCAACATGTCCGCTAGGCACTCGCTGGTCAGATCGGTGGCTGTAATGTCCAGTTCCAGCAGCGCACATTTATCCCACTCCACCTGCATCACAAACTCCGACTTGAGGCTGGTGCCATTCATCAGCAGACAGGTCAGGCGCTTGGAGCGCTGCACCAACGTCTTCAGGGTGGAGCCTGTAACCTTGTTGCAAAAATTGACAGCGAGGCATTCCAGCTGGATGCAGTTGGAACTGAAGGCATCGATGTGCGAGTCATCGATGAAATTGATGCCATACAAATTGATAACACGCAAGTTGGGCGTGGCCGACTTCAGTTTGTGCACATTGATGACTTCATAGATTTCCTCCTCCTCCTCCTCGCACTTCTCATAGGTGCCCACCAAGTGCAGCACCTCCAAGCCATTAATGAAGTTGTAGATCTTTCGCATGAAACCCTCCATGAAGATCACCTCGGACAGACAGACGCACATATAGCGCAACTTGGTGGGAAAAGCCTGCATCTCGCTGAAATCATGCAATTGCATGGCTGAAAATGTAGGTTAAATGAAAATGTTCAGTTTGCCACTTGGTACAGTCAAATCCAGTCCAATCACTCACCCGTTGAGAAGTCCAGCAGCATGTGTGTTAGATTCGGACACTTGGCAGACAGCTCGTGGAGCACCGTATGTGTAATCAGCTCAATGGGCAGCTCAATGTAACGCAAAGTTGGCCCAAATCTCACCGAGATTAGGCTGAGCAGCATCTCCAGAGAACCGACATGCAGTCCAGAGATCTCCGGACGCAACGATACATTCTTCCACAGGCACGTGTCATAGGCGATCTTGCGCCAGCGCCGACAGATGCGGGCCAGGCGACAAATCTCTCGGTGCGATAGATATGAGAATATGTGCAGCAGCACCTTGTCGGGCAGCTTCTCAATGGTCTGCAAGAGAGATCACACAATATATATTTATGTACATATATGCGTACGTAGGTATATACAAAAATTAGGCTGATCAATACACATCACTCAATCCAACTCGGAGAGCTCTTTCGATCAGTGTGCAAAATTATATACCGTGTCGGCGAAGGGACTACGCATCGTGCCATCGGAGAGATACACCTGTGAGGCCTCCACGGCCAGTTGACCCCAGATATCGGTAGAAATATCCATTGCTCAATATGGTTAATAATATATATTCGCAATTCTCTTGCTTATATAAATCAAAGATGTTCACTGTTCACTGTGCGAGAGATACGCGCGTTGCCGAGCACCTTCGACGTCTGTCTGAATTAGCTGCTGCTTGGCTACTTGGCGCTGCTGCTACTGTGAGTAATCTCCAAAAAGCCCACAAACATTTGACACACTCGCAGGCGGCCAAAGAGAAAGAACGAATGCCTCCGAGGAGTTCCTATTTATAGCTGAGCGCTAGTAATGTTCAGAGCACCCCAAAACAACAATATGCCAAGAATTTCTAGTGCATCTTGTTTTTTTCGCGGTGGTCAAAAGAGCGAACAGCTCTGGGCCTGCTAATCAGCTGTTTTGGGGCTGGGCAGTAGTATATACCCAGGTATATATATATGTATATATAGTATACTCTTTATGTATATATAGTGACGTTCAATAGGCTCAAGTATATGCATCGCATTCTACGCAATCGGTCGGTTTTTGTTTTGTTTACTGACTGCATGTGTTTTTTTTGTTTTGTTTTTTGTTTTGGCGGTTTTTCTCAATTTTATATTCAATACTCACCAGACGCGTCTTGACTGTCCCGGTGCCATCTCGTCCAATAGCCTGGGATGAGGTTTGCGCTGCCAAAACGTTCCAATTATCCATAATGTTTTTCTAGTTACTAAATTACTTGGGTGCTACGATTTTCTGGTTGCTTGTTTATTGCGGGAATTGCACTCTGATTTGTATCTATTGTCTATACTATACTACTATGTAGGCATGTATGGACAGGCGCCGGTTTTGTGTTTCTATAAGTAGCCGAGGAATTCATTCATCAATTCTGTAAATTGTTTAAAAGTACATACATATTTAAGCATGCCACTATGCTATACTGCCACACTATAGCTTTTCAGGCTACTAGACTTGCAAGAAGCCATGCCTTTTTGAAATAGTGTCACAACTTAATTATAGTTAAATATATATTTATACTTATAATCATCTCAATTATTTCTAGTATATTAAACATAAAATAATAAATCCAAAATTTGATAAAAGTATTGCCAAAAGGAATATATTTCTTACGATATACAAATAAATACCTATATATCTGATTTTGGATGATAAGAATATGTAGAGAATAATATTCTTTATCGAGCATGTAATTAATTTGAAAGAGAAACGAGTATTTTTAAAATATTCCTTAAATAGGTATACCGATTATGGAAAAATTCAAAGTCAATACTAACTCAATACACTGTGTATGATAAAAAAATGTATGTAATTGACAAAGAATATGATAATTTAAAAATGAATTTTAATTTGGTTTTCAAACACATTGAGACCCTCCCCGACCACTTACCCGATCAGCATATCAAAATATATACTGCTTATATATACACAATTTCTATTATAATATTCGAGAAGTTGATACAATCGACAACAATATGTATACGTATCAAAATCTGAAAATGTTTAAATGCAACAATAAAAGTGACTAAGTTTATAATTTACAAATATAAACATAAAAATACACATTATAGTTGGATCTGATCCAAGGTAAGAAACAAATTTGTTTTTAAATTACGAAATTATATACAAGACAATGTAAGCTTTTAATCTATAAATGCTGCATTCAAAGAGGAACTGGATTACTATTTCTAAGACTTTGCCATCAATATCGAAAGGGCTCAAAGTGCATATATATATCTACTATTTACCCATTTTGCTCTTAGTCGTTTAGTGCTAAAATTCAACTTTAAATATTAAAAATATTGAGTTAATTGCACTTTGCTGCATACAATACAATGACGTCAGCACAAAAGTGACCTAAAATTGTACGTACAATAGAAAATTATGCAAATATTTCAGATTTTCTTTTTTTTTTATTGCTCTGGGAACCAAGAAGATGTGTTCTACCTTATAGGCTATTTATAGGCAATTGTTGGTCTGCAATGAAGAACTTGTCTTGCAGCAGCAATTTTCCAATTGCATGCAATTTTGTAACGCCTACAATTGAAAGCACTTTTTATTGATTAATTGGCACTTTTGTTTTCACTTAGTCTTCGTAATAGTTTAAATAGTAAATTACTTGTTGGTCAATTTGGCTTGCAAATACTTGAACTAGTTTTGATGGTTGTGAATCGCTTTTCCGTTTTGCACTCAATAATTTTTCCGCGTAGTTGAGAGCTCCACGGTGCTCATGCAACTGAGATCAGGCGTCCGCGAAAAATTGTTTTAGGCAAAAAATAAACATGGGCTGGTAATGGCTGCCAACCAGCGAGGAGCAGGATGAAGTAGCATCGCGGGCAGTAGGGGTATCGGGACTGATCGACCGCATGCTGGCAAGCGCGCGTCATTTGTTGTAGCCGGCGGATGCTTGGCAAGTATGCTAAGTGATGGCGCCAGGCCAAAAACCAAAAAGCGATGCGTTTTAAACGCTGTTGTTGTCATACACCTATCATTCAAATTAAGCGAATAGTCCACATTTTTACACAAGATGTCATTTCAAAAAGTAACGAACAATTAAGCTGCCAAGCTGCCAAGCTGTTTGCCGTTACTTACAATGCTTGTGGCAGTCCACACATCGCGCTCTCCCCCACTCTTTCTTCTCTCTTTCGCTGTTTTCGGCTCTCTTGTGGTGTTAGAGAATTCGTTCTGATCGGAGTCACAAGCAAAGAAAATTCAGTCGTTTTCTTGCTGCGCACGCAGTCGGTTAGCTGGTTGGGATTCTCTGCGGCTGTTTTTTGATTCTTAGTGCGCTTGTGTAAGTGTATGTGTCAGCGGACAGTCTGCAGAAAAAGGGTGTTTCACGTTTACGCATGCTTCTCTTGGTCGCATCGCTGCTGACACTGAATTCCATTAATAAAACTTGCAACAAATTGCGGGCGGGTTTGCAGTGTAGTAAAAAACCAAAAACGTTTGTTTATATTTGGTACAGTGCAGCAAATGCGCTTGTATGTTTTTGTGACGCCCCAAGAGCGCATTGCGCACACACACACACATACAGGGAGTGATTGAGAGTAAATGAGAGAGAGAGAGTGCAATATAAGCTGCGCAGGTGTGTGAGTAACCCAATGAAGACAACGCAGACGCCGACGTCGACGCAGGCAGCACAAAAAGCAAATCATAAACAAATTGTGGAATACTAAAATAGTTTAGGTGAATGAATCGATTAATTAACATAGAGTTTGTATGCACAGCTGGCAATCGGAAGGAGGAGGAAGGATGTCGTACAGCGCAGAGCGTGCGCTCTCCCATTTGTATCCGTTCATAATTGTGGCATCGCTGGTATGCTGCATCACCTCGGCGGTGGCCTGGACACATTGGCGCTACGTGCTCAACGCCTGCCCGGACACCAATTGTGGCTGTGTGCTGCATGGTCGCAGTGCGTATAACAGCTTCGAGGGCGGTAACATCGCCTACTGCCACTATGCCACCTACGGCCTGATTCTGCCCCTCGTCTTTGCTATCGTCCTTGGCATCTATCACGGCTATCGCATGTGCATTGGCAAAGGCGAACGCAAATCAGGCACCACAACCCTCAGGCAGCGGTGAGTCGGAGTCCAATTCTAATTCAGACGGGGGTCATTGGGGTTAATCGGCGAGAACAGCATATTGCGACACTCACACTTGAGACTGGCCTAATTAAGCCTTATGCTAATGGAACGCTGACAAAATGACCACCATTTCAATTAACTTGCTTGCCAATTAGTCAGCCAGTTCATCTTCATCTTCCGCTTCCACTTTCAGCTCCGGCGACATGATTGTGGTAACTACGGAATCGGATCTGACACCCGATGGCCTATCGCCCTACTATTGTAAGTGCAAACCAACAAAACTTAACATCTTTGATTAAATTTCACACTTCTTTCCTAGGGCTACCTGCCACAGTCATATCAGTGATTATGGCCATCTATCAGCTGATCTATGCTGCCATTTTCACCGATGGCTTTGAGGTCACCTGCAAGCAGTATCGCGAGTCCTTGCTTAAGGAGATTCAAGGTGTTGGAAACATTGTGCCAGTGATCAAGCAACGTTTGTCCTGTGCGGCTGTCTTCGATTTTATGGACTATCTGGTGGAGAGCATTTCGTACGAACGTCGTCGCTATGGACGCATCAATACTTCGATCTGTTTGTACTTTACGCTGCTCCTCGCCTGGTTTGCCCTCGCCGCCTGGATTATCGTGTGTGTCATCAATATTGTCAACATGCGCCGTACTCGCGCCGCCCGTGTCTAGATCGCTAGAGCGATCCAGCGATGACAACGAACTAATGTATTCCACTGCACATTCGCCTAATTATTAATATTAATTATACATTCGTAGACAGCACATTCCACGCCACTTATTTATTAGGTCTTAATTCGTAACGTCCACGGTATTTTCGTCTACCGCCATTTACACATTGTACAAAATAAATGTATGAACAAGTTTAATTTAAATATTTATATCAATTTTTGATTCAATTAAATCAGATGGTAAGGTAAATTTTGCTCAAAGCGGTTATATCGGATATCTATTTAAAAACTAAAAGTTAACTGAAGCAAAGTTAATGCTTCCGATTCTGAATTTGTTACGTGAAGACTCCAAATTTTAGTCAAAGCATTTTAATTCTATCCGATTTATATAAAAAAAAACCAATTCATAATTAGCAATCTAAGCATTTAAGTTTTACTTTAATCATTAGATTATCTATCTTTGAATGTTCTATTACAAGCAACTATAAGATATCGGATGTTTGGGTTCTTTTATTACTCCATTATCCCTGATTGAAACTCGATGGATTCGGTCCCTAAAATTCAAGCTTTCTTTCAAAGTCTGTAGAACTTGGTCGAGCTGAAGGTTTTTCTGTTTAAGCGAAATGTTTTTCTAGCCACATTAAAAGATTATTGATTTGCATTTAAGGACTCGAGAAAAACAATTGCCAAGTTCGAGCAACTTTTGCCGTCGCCTGTGGGTCCCTAAAAGTATGCCCCATTTTTCTTTATGAGTGGCAATTTAGCGAATCCCACAACCTTTTTGGGTTAAACATAGTTTTGTGCTACGATTTTAAATATGAGAAGTGTGGCCGTGCATACTAACGGTTGAAATCCAAAATCTGCAAAAATTTATGTTTATAATAAAAATCATAAAGCACTTAATAAATGCCACGACTAATATTGTGTCCTTTATGCTTTAAACTTGTCGAGAGCTTATTCTATATATATATTTTATGCCTTTTGTTACTGGTTATCACCAGCATTTCTTTGTAATAGCTTACTGGCAGCACTGGCACAAATTATCGATGACAGCTGTGCTATCGACTGCGTCGTCGATTCTATTGCTGACGTGCCGCAATCGAATTTGTTTACCCATTAAAATTGGTAAATTGTGAGAAATCTCAACATGCTGGACATACAAACACATATGGTGAGCATCATAATAGTCAACGCAAGCATTATTTTAACTTTTGGGCATTTTCCCAGGACTTTGTTGGTCAGGCCAAAGCCGAGCGCTGGTCGCGTCTAATTATAACTTTCTTTGGCGTAATCGGGCTCATCTACGGTGGAATTGTCCAACAGTTCTCGCAAACAGTTTACATCCTTGGCGTTGGCTTCTTGATTTCTTCCCTCGTAAGTAATTATATATATGTAATAATAAATGTGCATTTAATTGTCGATTTTGCGGTACAGATAACGATTCCGCCCTGGCCGTTTTACCGGAACAATCCCCTCAAGTGGCAGAAGCCGGTGATAACCGAGCAGAAATCGCAGACTGGCGACTCCAGCGACGAGGGCAAGGCCAAGAAGAAGGACAAGTAGAGTAGTGGAAACAATAGAAATATTTAAATAAAAACCAACTTCAATCTTTAATTAAATTGGCCGACGATACGAAATGAGTTCGTTGTGATCGTAATATTTGTGGATCAGGTCATACATATTGGCAAAGAAGTACAGTAGATTGTCATATTGCCCGTTGTACGGGGATTCGGGAGTCACGCACTCTGCCGGCGCCTCTGATGTGGTTAGTGGCTTGGCCAGCTGATGGAAGCCATCCGTGATCTCGAGATTGTCCAGGCCACGATAGGCCCCATTGAGGCCCCATGCATTCACGTGCACCTCCAGCAGAAACTGATGGATCGCCTCAATGGTGGCCAGATACCAACGGGGACTCCCCCGCTGATGGCGCCAGAACTGCGACAGTCGATTCTGGAGGACCACAGTGCGCAATCCACGCACGCGCTCATCCGCATAAATGCTGCGACTCTGGTTCCAAGTGCTGTCGATGAAGACGGCACGTTTTATGGGTAGAGTGTCGCATGTGTAGCGCTTGCAGCTGATCGAATCTGGCGAATCCGGAGCTGTGCCCACAACTTCGTCCATGCGTCGCCGCAGCATTGTGCCCATGTGATGGCCCTTGGGCAGCCCATAGTTGTCATCGATGTTCAGGTGAACATCTCGCGCGAACAGCTGCGGCACTGTTAGACTCGTCGCACTGGGAAAGATGAGCACCACACCGGCCTCCTCCAGACGATAATCGGGTATATCGGGATATGTGTGGATGCGCACTTGGTGGGGGGCGAGGACAGCTGCATGGACTGCTGTGCTCTTGCCATCGATCTCCTTCTTGTGCTTGATGATGTCGATTTGCAGGGGCAGCTCCACGCTCGGCAGGAGGCTACCTAGTTCACCCACGGGGATGTAGCAATTGTAGCAGAAGAATTTCCTGGAGCGATTGCAGTGCTGGCAACTCTGGCGGCCCTCGATGGTGTCCAGCACGGAGTGATCCGCTATGCGCATGTTCACAAATGGATATTTACGCGGCTGTCCGCGGGCAGCGACGGGATGTGTCATCATATATCGCTTCAAATCCCGGCAAATTTTAATTGATATTTACAAGAGTGCGGAAATTCATTCAGAAATACACACAAGTGCAGCAATGCTGCCATATCTTCAAATTTTTTTTTGCATCTCATCTCATCTTTATACACAAGTCTGGCAGCTTTTCCAATACTAAAAAATTCAACCAATTTAACGACTATTTAAAATGCAAATACAGTGGTGCCACATTGTTGGCAAGAATAATTTTCCATATTTCGTTTTGACAGTGAAAATCCATAATCGATTTAATCCATATATATTTTATTCAGCTCTGACGTACATTTTAAAATTAGACATTTATAGAAATTTGGCGCAACGTATGAAGCCATCGCTGCTTGCAATATAAACACGATTTTCGGTGCCACAGCAAATGAAATTCACACAACTGCCAACGTCGACTTCTCCCAGTGCTTTTGGCTGTTTTGCTGCCAAATCTGTCCAGCCCTTGACCTTGTTGTCGTAGCCACCGGAATACAAGTGCTGCTCATCCCCGCACAGACTGCTCACAATCATTTCGTGGCATTGCTGAAATAGAAGTAGTAATTCAGAAAGAACCGCTCATTGCAGATCGTCCACAAAACTCACCGGCAGCTGCCAAACGTGTGCAAATTTATGCGTTGGTAGATTATTCACCAGCTGCAGACCCATCCCAGTGCGATCGGGAAAGGCCAAATAGGTGTGTCTCTCCCCCACCAGGGGGCCGAGCAGGGTTAGCGGTGATTTACCCGGAATTACAGCATTGTTGCTATATTTGCCGGACTTGCCCTCGACAACTGTTGAGACCACAACATCCAAATCACGTACAGAATAAATGAGCTGCTCTTCCCCGGCCACCGATTTGACCTCCTCGACCAGATTGTACTTGAAGAGCATGCGATCGTTACTCCAGGTGGTTATCACGCCTTTATCATCGCCTGTATACAGAACACCGCCATTGGAGTACATGGCCTGAATGGCATCCTCGCACCGGAACAACTCCTGCATCGCAGATGCATCTGCATACGGTGGCAGCATGTACTTCACCTGGCCATCACAGCTGCTCGAATATAGTTTGCCGTTCTCGTTCACGGCCATGCAATAAATGTATGCTTCATGGGCGTCAATCGTTCGCAGCAACTTTAACGATTCCGACCAGATCTGAAGGTGGGGTGCGGGAATGGTAAGCGTTTAAGTGACGTCCTCAAAATTTCTGGCCATAATACCTACGCGTATTTTGCCATCGGCACCGCCCGAGAACAACTGATGGTTGAAATACGTCACACAAGTGGCGTCCCCCTCGTGGGGCTCCGTCGAGGTGTGTTCGATGCGAGCGTTAAGCATCTATTTGGCTAGAGATTCACAAGAGAACTGAGACTGAGCATCGGCAGCGACCGCTACAAATATATCCCATTCCGAATATATACCTACATATAAATACAGAACATGTTCTGCTCTCTTGTGCAGCTATTAATAAATCAAATATATACAGTGGCTGCGTGCAGAAATTTCCAGACACCCACTTCTTCAACGTCGTTTAGTATATTTAAAACACTTTAGTTTTTTTCACACTTTAAATTGCAATTATTTGGTTTTCAGCAAGTAAATACATAGAAATCAATGTATACATTTATGTATATATATATATATGTGTGTATATATATATTACTTTAGTCGAGATTGCATTTCTGTCGCTTGATTCTTAAACATAAACTTGCAATGCGAACGAATCGTTAACGAATTAAACTAAAATTGGTATAAATTTCCTTTTTCTAGGTATCACAAAAGTAGCTTCAACTCAAAATACTTGGAAACCATATAATATGTATGTATGTAGTACGTACAAAGTAACTTAATCGATTTGTTTTAGCGAATCACGAAATTTTCTACAGCTGGCAACTTTTTGGGTCTCAAAGTTGCTGGGTTTCTTTTTGTTAGATTGTCATTAAGCTTGAATGTTCTTGATGACGCAGACAATTACATTTAGATTGCATAACTTTAAACTTGAAAGTTGGTTTCAAGACGAACAGTATTTAGTAGTCTAATATATGCGTTTAACACTTAGTTAGGCTTAAGGCTTATACTCTTTCCAAGATTTGCTAGAATGGTAGAACAAGTGAGACCTCAAGTTATTAGTTATTAACTAATTACTTACACTTTAAGCGTTGATTTGAATTGGATTTGTTTCTTAAATCGTTCTACAATTTATATATTAGCGTTAATTCGAATTTGTTGATGCATTCCCTAGAATTTGTTTATCATTTACCATAATTATCAATCGGAAGCATTGAATTCATAATTCATTTGAAATTACTTAGTTTAATACTTGAACACGCATTACATTAATAAAATATTGCTTTTACTAATTGTAGTTGTCAAGATTAAAGACTGGAAAGAGTATACTAACTTCGAAAACTCACCGAAGCTTATTATTCTTAGTTATTACTATCTTTTTTTTTTCTTCTTCTCTACATATTGTTTTCACTCTTAGTAAGTTCTAGTGGCTTGCTTAATTCCTTCGATTTCGAGAATCCTTTAACTTATGGCTAGGGACAAAGACATTTTCATATCCATTATTGGGACTTTACGTATATAGTATTTTAATAGACACACACACACACACATTAACTGTTGATCGGCTAGTTTAAGAGTTTCTAGCATTGCCTAATACAAACATACTTATAAATTCAATACACACACATCCTCACAATACAACACAGACGTATACCATAATAATAAACACACACATTTGAGTATTGCTTAGCTCAAAGGCTTTAACTAAGATGTTCTTCGCTTGAGTGACGCTTCAATCTGGCATTAGCTAAGCGTATTGAATATCACTCACAGTGGCCATCGTTTCGTATTTGAATTCGGTTAAACTTATGCATAGGCATAGATATAGACTCTAGACATAGTAAGCATTATAGGGATTTCGCTTCTCCAGGCAGGGCAGCACACACTCCAGCGTATTGCGGAAGGCGTCGCGAAAGTCCCGATTGAAATAGGCATAGATGAGCGGATTGAGGGTCGAGTTGAAGTAGCCAATCCAGAATAGCACCACGACGACCACATCCGGGCAGGGACACGCAGCGCCACAGAGCGAGGTGATGACATACCTGCAGTTTGCCAAAAATACAATAAGTGGATATGGGGAACTCAGAGTTGACGCCTTGAGTTAAATACTTACCAAAGGAAAAAGGGTAACCAGCAGAGCAGAAATACGCCCATTATAATGCCCAAAGTGCGAGCGGCCTTGTGCTCGGCCTTCCAACCTTTCGCGGGTCGCACCGAGCCGCCTGTCGAAGGTTTAAGGAGGGAGGGGAGAAGGGCAAGAAATAAGAGTAAAGAGTTCGATGAGAGATGAGATTTGATGGAGAGCAAGAGCTAACAAGAGCAAGCGATAGAGAATTGATAAGCTAAATTTCTTCTTTGGCACACAGTTGCCACAGCTTCGAGCCCTGTTGAAAACTGGCATCTGTTTCAGTCTCGGTTTTTGTGGATTCAAGTAAATGCCGGGCATTTCTTGTGTACTGTAGCAACATGTGTGACGCAGGGGTTATGTGGCATGTGGCGTGTGGCGTGTGGCGTGTGTTTAAGTTTGACATTAATATTAAGAGTTAATGTTGTTGTTGTTGTTCCTGTTGTTTTTAGCTGTATCGATGACAAACACACATAGCTCTCGCTAAGCGCCTTTGACGCGATACCCGCATTGGGCGGCAACATTTAGACAGTCTTATAGTGTGTGTGTGTGTGTTTTTTGTGTGTTTGTGTGTGTGTGTGTGTGTGTGTATTGGAAAAGTAATAAAAACGAAGCAAACAATTGAAAATATTTACACAGGACACTTGTTATCGCAAAGATATACAGGGCCCACGAGGTCCCCTCAGATCACACACACACACACACACACACTCATACACACATATATATATATATATATATATATACATATACATATATGTACCTAGACAGACAGACGCTGGCACTCACACGTACAAAACATAAACATAAACAGCATTGAAAAGTAAAAGTATGTACACACGAAAGAAAACAAATCAGACGACAGACTGTCGAAACAGACAAACAGTGAGCAACAGGAAATGGTGAACAAGTTTGTTCCCTAGCCTCTTCGTTGCCGTTGCCGTTGCCGCCGCCACACCTAAAGGACATCATCGGCCCGGCGCAGGAAGCGGTAGACCGACGCACTGTACAAAAAGAAATCATAAAAACAGAAAAGAAAAACAACAAAGAAATTGAACACAGAAAAAGGCAAAGCGATGGGTAAGCAAACAAAATGCACGTGCATAATGGAAGCAACTATGTACAGCAGGAGAGAGCCGAAGGATACCTCAGATATACTTCGCTGCTTGCGCTGGTGAGCAAGGATAAGTCTTAATTCAAAGGAAAAGCGAGTGTCAAAACATTTCTTTTTCTTCGGGGTCAGCAGAGTGTTAAATTATAGGTTGATGATTGGAATTAATTTAAATATCAGTTGGTTTAACGAGAAGAATTTGCATTCTAATTTTGATACTTAGCATTATTATCTAATATTATTATCAATTAATATATGGTTAGTATGCATAAATCTTAGCAAATATTTGTTATGCACCTATATGAGAAGGATATGACATTGTTATGACAAAATACAATCAAGCAGAATTATCCTTCGATGCGCCCTAAAATTTTTTAAGAATTGAAATAATGTTTGCCATTTATTTTCCAAATAATTAAGCACTTAACCATCGACGCTTGTGTACTAATATCTTCTGGTTAAATATTACAAAGTTAGTTAACACGAAAGTTCACAATAAGGTTAATTAACTAATTTAGTACCTCTTGAGTATTTATAATCAGTTTTTAAGTTGGCTGGTATTAGGTTAAAGTTGGTGATTTAGTTACACACAGAAATGAAAAAGATGTCTGCATAGCTAATTCAAGCACACTCAGAAAAAAAGCCACTGAAATTTAAAAAATCGCCCTATAATGAAAATCAATCTGACAATTAGAAAGTGTTTCTTGCTTTTATAAACAATTTCTAAATATACGAAAAACAAATTAAATTATAAATGGTTTTTTTTTTCATTTTACAGAAATGTAAGTCTTAATAATAGAAAATATTCTTACAAATCTTTTCCTAAATTTAAAAAAAAAAAATATACTAATTGAGTTGCTGTCTGCTTTATAATTTATTCAATAAACTATCTAAAATGAATTGTGTATGTGAAATCTCCAAATTCTTATGTTTAATAATAATATAAGTTACAAGAAATCTAATTTTAGAGATCAGTTTATACACATACAAACAAAAATATATTCAAAAAGAATAACCATAGTTTTTCAAAAGACACAATCAATATCTATAGAAATATGCTCTCTGAATAAAAAAGTGAGTTCCACTTGACTAGGCGTCAAGTATGGCGGTTTTCAAAAATTTGAAGCATTTTTTCTGAGTGTAGCAATGCAATGGATTTGATAACAGGCGCTGACCACATATAATATGTCTGTCTGGACTGTCTGAATGTGTTTAATCTAGAGACAATAAAAGCTAGACAGATCAAATTTAATACCGAAAGCCATTCAAACTTAATAGCGACTATTCACTAAGCCATTGTCAGCTCTGAACAGCAGCGAGGAGCTTGTGAGCTATTGTGTTTCATTTGTGTATGTAGGTGTCTGAATATACATATATAGATATATGTATATGTGAGCTAATGTATCTCATATGTGCAGCATGTCTCATAGTTGAAAGCCTAACTTTTATTCATCGAAATAAATCCATCGTTCACTGCTCCTAAATCAAGTATGCCAGAGACTTAATATTTTGTCAACTTTAAGTATTTTTATTTTTTTCTGTTTTTGACGGAAAGGAAAATTTAATACGGTAAATTTTGAAGAAAAAAAACCTTTTAGAAAACTCTGATTTTTGTTAATGCGAAAATGACATAAATATGAGCTAATTGAAGTATTTTAGAATAAACTCAAAAATCTCAAGCATCCTGTTTGAAAGCATACAAAAAATGTCGTTTAATCGAGTGCAACTCAAAGACTTGGTTTATATCGGGTATAGTAGAATATGGTTTTTCTGGTCCTTAATATTTACGGGTCAACCATTCCCAAACATTTTGCTTTTGATTATGTTCATGTAGGCATATGTAAGTATATACAATTTTATATTTCAGTTGTTTTAATATTATTATAAATGAAGTCTTTTGTAATATTAAAGTCGATTTTTTCTCAGCAGATTTATTAGCAGCGATTCCTATAAACCAAACCGATATAACTATATATTGATACTTATAATTATTTCAGTCACAATCATAATACGATTAAGTGAACTTGTATTTACAAATGTGCACGAGTTCGTGGGTGACTGAGGCGAAAGGTGCGACTTTTGTTTATGGCGGGCGGGGGAGGGGGAAAACGCATGGGTGACTCAGTAATATGTGGAGTTAGCAAGGGATATTCATGACGTATAAGCATGACAAAGATAGCAACAGCAATGCGAGAAAGATCGATAAAGAGAGAGAGAGAGAGAGAGATATATAGAGAGCAAAAGAATGGGAAGACATATATATTTGTATGGGGTAGATGGTTTTGGGTTTTTGGGTCTGGCGAATATGAGCAGTGTGTGTTGCGGAGATGACAAAACAACTCACCGATCGCACCACAGTGACTACATCCGGGCTTGAAGTGGCGCTTCCGGTTCTTGCTCTGCTGCCAACATGCTGCAAGCGCCGCCATTTGTCTGTGCCAGAAGCGTGAACGCGTGCGCGAAGCTAGCTCCTGCCCTGGAGCCGGAGTCGCACCCAGAGCCGAAGCTGAGGCCTGAGCGTGACTACTACGTTTACTACTTGCAGAGACTGAGGTGTTGGTGTCGTTAGTGGTGGTAGTGATGGTGGTAGTTGTGGTGGTGGTGATGGTGGTAGTGGTGGTTGTAGCGGTGGCGGTGGCGGTGATGTCGGCGCCACAGAGCGGACATTTTGGCTGCGGGCTGGTGACCGGGGCAAATGTAATGCCGTGCGGCTTTTGCTCAATGTTATCGGCCTCGTCCTCATCCACAAAAATGCAGATGCCGCCGCGTCGTATAAGCGAGGATTTATTCGAAAATTCGTGCTCTGTTTCGGTTCGGTTCGGTTCGGTTTAGTTTTGGTTTTTATTATTTGTTTTTTATGGACGACCACATTTGAAGTTGAGTTGAGTTGGAAAAGTTTTGATTTTGGTTTGAACACAATTTGATGATTTAATTGAGACACACACACATACACACACAAATGCACATACAAAGAGATAGACAGAGAGTTAGAGGGAGAGAGAGATAGAGATAGAGTGAGAGTGAGATAGAGCGGAACAGAGATAAGTAAAGATTAGGATAGTAAAGGACATATACATATATGTATGTAACTGCTAGTCAGGAGTATATTTTAGTATTCGGGGTGGGGCACATCACAATACGCATGCGTGCCACATGCAACAGTTGAAAAACGAAGTGTGTATAGTGAAAGATTATAAATATGTACTTAATAGTAGAAGAACAAGAAGGAGAACTGTCAAGAGACACCACTACAATCAAAATATTCACCAACAACTTGAACAACTTGAATAGTTTAAAAATTATAAGCAAATCATTTGATTTTTATCGTTTAGCATTTGCAGTTGGTCAACAAGGCGTATGCTTTATGTTTTCGACTTGCAGTGTGCAACTACCATTAACTAAGTGCTTAAAACCTTTTCCTATTTTGCCTACGTCTACATTCAGCTAAAAATAATGCAATGCTATAATGCAATTTGCTAACAAATAGGTTAGGTATTCGATATTTGAATAGTAATAGGCGAATAGTCAAACAGCAGCTCATGGTCTCAATGTCATCATCCTTACTTTTCAACCAGATTATGATTTCAATTTATGAATGTAATAATCGGAGATTAAATCAAGCGGCTTACATTTTTAAAATGGTTTGAATAAAATCATTTATATATATTTCAGGTGGCTTTCGCTCAATAGTTGTTGGGAATTTGTTGTCTATTTTCATTTATGATTCGAATTGATTGAATTAATTTATGAGCTTTTCCCAAATTGAGCAAGTAGAATGCAAAATATTTAGTAATTCCAAGAAACACTCATATTTGCATTCAGCAAATGCAAAAATTGCATTTAGTAACAATATTGAACAGAATTAATTTCCCTATGTTTTTGCAATTTCCATTTGAGTTGGGTTCGTAAATTGTAATTTTTTATTTTTTAAATTGCTGGAGATTAAATGGATTCTTAGAATCGTTCCAGGCCTTGAATAAGTTAAAAAGGTTTTATTTTTTTTTAATACTGAAATCGGTTTCGAATTAACAAAGTTCTTGGTGCTTTCAACAATGATCAATGACTCCAATTGATTTATTTAAATTTGGAAATAAACTCAATTCAAATTCATTTTTCAATGCTGTCTGCTGCCCGATAGGCAGGCAAGCGGAACTATAGCCCTGACCATGACCATGACCATGACCAAGACCAAGACCATGACCTGATTGCTGACCATTTTGTTGTTTTTTTGATTTTTTTTGCGCCCATGCCTGTGCTTCTCGACGCTGGAGTCACAGATGAGGCGTTTACTTACTTGCCGAGCTGGTGGAGACGCGTCCCATAGGTATGTAGCTGTGACTGTCACTGTGTTCCTGCGAGAAGTTGATGACGTTCACATCGTATGTCACCATGGAAGCTTGTCGCTTGCGCACCGTCTGAATGCCCTCGTAGCCAGTGAGAATGCTGCACCGTTGCCGGCCGCCGGAACCGTTAACATCCGCTTCATTGTTGCTATCTGTGCGCTTCAGAAGCGGCGAGTTGACATCCTTGTGCTCGACCAGGCCATTCACCTCGCTGGCGTCCACGGGCGAGAGCGTGGAGTCGAGTATGATTTCGGGTTTGGGTGATATGTTAAGTGGTTGCTGATGGTGTTGATGCTGATGCTGGTGAGGTGCAGCTGACTGTGGCACCGGTAGCGAGGTGACCATGTCCAGGGATACGGTAGATGTGGCACTTGGCGAGTAGCCAGATGCGTGCGGCGGCGGCGACAGGAAGTACACGTTGATGGATGTCGGCTGAGTGGTTGCAGCAGCTGCTGGCGTATTCGGTGGGGACATCATATAATTGGGGCACACCTGATCGCTCAGCGTGCTCATGCGCTGCGGCCCCTTTGACGCCGTCTGACGCCTCACGGACGGCTCACCCATGGGAAAGCTCAGCGAGCGAAAGATCTCCGCCAGCTCTGAACTGTTTGTTATGAGCATACCACTCTGCTCGGGCAGCTCGGGCGGTGACAATGATGGCGGCGGTGTTGCCGGATGCATGGGTGACTCCGCAAAGCAATCGGCCAATTGGGCTAGCTCCTCGCCAGTGACACCCACATCCACTCCAACTCCGACCACCGCATCGCTGCCAAAATCAATTAGTTGGAGGCCATGATGATGATGGCCAGCATCCGCTGCACTACTCGCCGCATTTTGCTCGCTGAGCACATTGATGTCCAGCAGTATGTCCGGCTTGTTGGGTGTTGAGTCCGTGTCGCTGTGCTGTCGCTTCCGCTGATCAACTTTGCGTTCCTTGACACCGCCGCCTCCGCCGCTGCCACTGCTACCGGCTCCACCATTGTAGCTTTGCGAGAGTTTGCGATTGCGCGAGCGTCGAAAAAAGCTGGAACCCTCGGAATTGGCTTGATGTCGCTTCTTTTCCAGTGCAAAGCACTCGGCACTAGAGCGTTTGGTTTTCGCCAGCAGCGACATGAATGTGAAGCCCTTCTCCTTGCCGGGCAGCGGATCACTGATCGGTGCCTTTGATTCGCCATTCGTGCGCATAAATTCCGAGTCACTTGCGGCAAATGGTGCCCTCTGACCACTGGCCACGGCTCCTGCTTTCAGGCGTATAAAATCCGATTCGCTGAGTGCTGCATATCTGCCGCTGGCTGCATTCGTTTGCTTCTTAAAGTACAAGTAATTGTCCTCGATGAGACGCTTAAGCTCCTTGTTGTCCTCGGCCAGTGGTGGCAGTTGGCAAGTATCATAATGATCCGTCGTCTCGCTCTCATCGCTATTCAGGCCAAACACGCGATATGCCGTTGACTCCGGCTCGGGATCGCTGTTCCCACTGCCGCTCGTCAGGCTGTGTTCCTTTTGTACGGTTGCTGTCGCCGGCTGTGGCACTTTGCCTGTGAGCGTCTCCGTCCAAATGAGTGGATTGAATACGGGCACCGGTGCTTGGAGTTGGCCGGGTCCTGGCTGCTGCTGCTGCAGCGCCATCATCGATGGGGCACTGTCCGTGTGCGTGACCTTCTCGTAACGCTCCTGCTCGAGGTCACGTAGATCAATGCTGCTGCGGCTGAGACGACGTGGTGGCGGCGATGGCACGCGCAGGTCATCGCACTCCTTATCGTCGTCCTCATCGGTTGCCGTCTGCAGCATGTCCTGTGGAACCGATTAAAGCACACTCATTCAATGTGTATTTTGTTTTAGTTAGTTTTGACTTATGTGTATTTGGGCTGCTTGACATAAATCAATGTCAAGACTAAGTTTGGTAAATCAAAATAGATAAACTGCTTTCTATAGCTTTTGAAATATGCTTATAAATGGTGCAAAAGTTTTTAAAACAAAGCATTTGTGTATTAAACGCTTTAGGGTCCAATGACCAATATGATGTCGGTTCACTTCCAGTAAATATTTATTTTGGTGGTGAATAATTCATTTACTTAATTACGCATATATCTGATTCCATACTTATGAATAAACTAATATAATTAAAACTGCAACTGCATTAATTAATAATAAATAAATAAAAAAAACGAATATCCAAGCTGTAAATACAAAATTCAGAACGTATTTTTATCTTTTATGTAACAATTATTAATAATATGCAGGAAAACAAAATAATTTGCTTCAACAAGAAATTTAAATTGATATTCTTTGTGTTTTAAATTCAACCAGTGCAAACAATACTGTTGTGTTTAACATGCATTTATATCTGACCGCACACTCTTCTGCTCGAATGAACTTCTGGGAAGTCATGCGAATGGCTGAGTACTGCAAAAGTTTAATTTGTAATATGACCTTTAGATGAGTGCATACATATCAAATAAATTAATTCCCAAAATCTCTTTGCCTGTTAGTGTTCCACTTACCTCCAAGTTGCTGAGTGCACTGTTCGACTCATCCCTCGTAGACTTGGCATTGAGATCGCAGTCACTGGGATGCAAGTAGCTAAGATTCGTGGGCTGCTGGGTGTGGCCCATATGAACGCTGTTCAGCAGTATGTTTGAGCTGGTGCGGCTCAATGCTTTGCGCTGCCGCACTGCCTCTCTGCAAGGAGAGTTAACCGCATTGCGGCACAAATTAATAGGCAATTTCAGTTGCAGGCACTCAGAGTCAACGATGAGGGACACTCACTTAAAGATGCGCCAGTACATGATGAGCATTACAATGCCCGGTATCCAGAAGCTCACCGAGCTGGATATAAGTGCATAGGCCTTGTTAACCACAAACGAGCATTGGTCCGGATGCAGGGAGATCTCACGCAAATGCTCCGCCGTTGTATACCAGCCCAGGAAAATGGGCGTAAACGATATGAGGGCGGGCAATATCCACACATTGGCGAGCATAAAGCAAACCGTTCGATGTGTCATATTCAATGGATACTCCAATGGACGCACTATCGCATAATATCTGTGTTATGTGACAAGACAAAAATTGATGAGTTGCCAGTGAAAAAGGACAAAGTTTTTCGTCATCCACAGGCAGAGAACTGCGCCATGATGTTATTTCAGTCTGTCTAAAAGCAGTTTTTTGTTAATCGATGTTGGCTTTGCTGGCGGAGGGCTGTAACCAGATTAGCTATCCACAAACTTCCTCTGAATCAGACTTTGATATTAAATAATTGGAATATTACATTGAAACTTAAACAGATCAAGTGAGAAATTGCTTGGTTTACTTTTACCCAACACCCATTTATACTTGAGGAATAATTTGCCTTTATCCGAAATACGGTATAAAGTTTCATTACAATTTGCCTCGAAGATAGCATCTTAGCGAGAAGCCGTTTCGATTACTTATAGATGGTGGCCATTCATAATTAAAGAATCTTTTGTTTGCTGAAGTTTTATGTGTTCCCAATGAGAAGCATTAATTATTTTCCTCAATTTTTTCTTTCCTTCTTCTTTTTTTTTATTATTTATTTATGTTCTTGTTGCTGCTGTGTGTGTTTTTCGTTGCGTGCTTTGCTAACCTTCCAAAAGGTGTGTGAAATATAAATTAATTAAAACAGACAAACAAAGGCAGCTGGCTTCGGCCATTGGGCACTCGCTGGCCATTGTTGTGTTTTGTGTCCGGTTTTGCGTCTCAGCTGTTGGGCTTTCGTTTAGGTAGCGCCACCAATTAACAGTTGCAGGGACGGGTGACGTTTAATGGGTGGCCACCAGTCGGCTGCCTCATTTGCCATGTCCAAATCATTTGGGGCCGCATTCATCATACGCCCCGGCTTAATGTTTGCTTTTGATGTGCGCGCCTTTCACAGTAATTAATCGTTTCTCATTCTCGCAGTCAGCAGTACAGTGCTTTGTTTTGGGTGAGAGTGAGATTGCGGCTGCCGAAGGCAAGATTAATGTTGGTTCTATTTAAAGTGCCTTGAGCTGCACACACACACATACACATATTAGCGATGTTGTGTGTGTGGTTGTGGTTGTGAGTCTTTGGGTTTGTTGCAAAATTGAGCTGTGGAGCTTTGTGGGGTATGTATGTACTTACCTATCAACCGATATGCAGCACAGATGCAATATACTCGCTGTGGAGAAGTAGACATCCAGACTGTTGTACACGTTGCACATGAAGGGTCCGAACATCCATTTGCCGCCAGATAGCTCCACGGATGCGTTGAATGTCATCGCACAGAGGGCGACCAACATGTCGGCCATCGCCAATGACACAACAAAGTAATTTGTTATAACGCTGCGGATGAGACAAAAGGCAGCGCTACATTTAAATGGACATTACTGCTGGTTCACGTTAAGCAAAACCACTAACCGCCTCAGGCGGCAAACCAGCACCAACCCCTGCAGAAAAAGCCATGTCAACCGAATGACATTGCATTTGTTTGTCGTCACCCTGCCCACTTCCCAACTCTCATTTGTACTTGCTTTTCGCCTTATTGCTTAGCATTTCACTCCATTTCCTTACTGCACTCGGCGCCAGCAGCAAGCAGCTAGCAGCTAGGTCACCTTCATGCAGCATATTTCCCCATTTCCTTGGCTGTCATAAGTCATTCGGCTGACTGGGCAGCTGTCACCCTAGCTGCAGGATAACTTTCACCGTCAGCGCAAATATTAAGATGTGAAAAGCGTTTCTGCGCTAACATTTATCGTGAAAAGCGAAAAGTCTTTTATGGGTTTTAGTAGTCTGATTATTATTATTAGAGCCTTAATATTGTGCCTTCAGTTTTGATTAACGTTCTTAAACATATTATATTACACTCTCAATTAAAATAACTTTGGAATTTTTCGATGTTAACTAAAGTTTTTTGGAAATTATATAACTTTTGCTGGCGACATACATTTTATTAGCAGTGAACGGTGAAAGTAAATCATTTAATTTGACCGAATCTGAACTGTTTTTTGAAAATGTTTAAATATAATAAGATAAAATAATAATAATAATAAATATAATTTTTATACTTAGCTCCCGTTAAGAATTGTGTAAATTAATTCACTTTTATTGAATAATATAATATTATTTATATAATATAAAATAATATATCTATCTGATTTTATTTTGTGTTTACCATTTGCAACTTAATCAGCAATCATATATCCAATTTTATTCATAATTGGAGTCAGCTTCGTAGTATATATACACACTTGCACTTATATAAAATCTTCACCCTCATTGGAATTTCAGTGTTGTGTGCATTTCCCCTTGGGATGTACTGTCATTCCATTTTATGTTTTATTGTGTTTTTATTCCACTTGTCGCTCATTTAAATTACATTTTCCAGTGTGCATAACATTTACAAAAGGTTTATTTGTTGTTCCAGCTGTTATTTATCCTGTTGTAGCTACCCATTGGTTGCACTTACCTCCCATTTTTCTCTAAAGATCAATGGACTTGACTCGGGGACACGATACAAAAATAAAGTAACAAAAAATTCGCATATGATAATCATATTTTAGTATCTATTTTTTAGTGAATCTTACACTTTACTGACTCTGAAAATCAAAAATAGGTGTGCCTGCATATTTTTTAAATCATGGTATATACAAATTCTTATTTTTATTTCAGATAATAATATGAATAAGTGTATATATATTTCTGTACTCTCAAATTTCGAATGGCTTCAGTCGAGTTTCGAGTTGATTGCATAATTAAACTAAAATCACGCTCAACTCTTGTTGCGAGGAGTTTATAGAAACGACGACTACTCAGTGTGCAGTTTAGTTCACTTACCGCAATTTCCGGTTGCGTTGCACAGATATGATCACCAATGCATTTCCCAGCACTGCGGCGAGTATAATTGCCGAAAAGATGAAGCCCTTGAGCAGCAGCAACGACATATCCAGCCAACTGTCCTCGAATTGTTCGTCGGTTTCAGCCAAGCTGCTGATATTGGCATTTGTGTTACCCGTCAAATTGCCAGCGACGGTTGAGAGTAGCTCGATGGCGCTTGCCGGAGATGAAGCAGTGGACGGGGTTGTTGATGATGCCGTTAATGACAGCGAAGTCAACGAGGCATCCACAAATTGCGATGTAGTTGGCAGAGTAGATGTTGATGTTGATATTGTTGTTGCTGTTGCTGTTGATGTGGCTTTTGCTGTTACTACGGCTGCTGCTGTTGTTGTTGCTGTTCTCAGTGTTTTTGTAGCCGCAGTCAGTAGCAAGTTACTGCTACTTCTGCTGCTGTTAGTTATCGCAGTTGTTGTTGTTGTTGTGGCTGTTGCATTAAATGCTGCTGCACCAGCTGCAAGTATTGCCATCGACTTGCTAGGCCTTCTCGTTGTATTTGCATTTGCCATTGCGGCTGCTGTTGCTCTTGCCGTTGATGTTGGTAGTGGCATTGCCATTACCATGCTTGGGTTGTGATAAACTTTAAGCGTTGACATTATTTCGATTTATTGTTGCGCTGATTACAAACGCTGTCTCTTTTGGTTGTCTGGCTCCGCACTTGGCGGATAATCACTCTTCGTTCTCTCGCATAATTGCAATTTGCAATGCAAATAAGCGATGGGTCATAGTTCATCCATATCCACAGCCTCCTCAACTGCTAGTCGCAATGTTCAGCGCCAGCGTCAACAGTAAGGCAGCCGTCGTCGTCGACGTCGTTCTTCTGGAGTGTTTGTGCAGGGCTCTGCCAGGACGCGATGCCATCGCCTGTTGACGCCCCCTTTCCCCACTTGCCGCTCGTTGTTTTTATTGCTGTTACTTTGTCGTCTATTTGAGTTTGCTAGCAACTCAACAAAACTTGCTCGTTCTTCGTTGCAATGCTCAAACGCTGAACAAACTGCGAAACGACGTCTGCAAGTGGACAAATAAATAATTTATATTATTATTTTTTAAAATTATTATTATATAAAAGCCTATGCGCTTGCGAAGCCGTGTTGTAATTACACAATTACAAGGTGCTTTCAGTTTAACTCTACTACGACTCCTTTAGTAGCGGCAAGGAGATATTTCTTGAATCAATTATTTTATATATATTCCCATTGTTATGAGTAGTTTTTGCCAGTGATCTGATAGCCAAGGTCTGCCAACTGACAGCCAAGGCGCCAGTTGTGGCCAACTGTCAATCGCAAAATATAATCGATAACTTGTAAATTGTGCAACACTTAGCGCAAACATATACAGCATCAGCAACCACTACAACATCTCAAGTAAAAAGATTTCTGCAATTTAATTCACTTCCGCATGGTCAACCACGCAAGTTAAGGCGTGCATTGAGATGAGGTTTCTCGCTCACAACCCGAAATGAACGGAAATCTAAAAGTTTTACTGCGCCATTCGGTGCAGGTTACACAACGCAAACACAAAACAAACTCAAACAATTTGAATTTCGAGTTTCTCTGATTTAATTAGACGACTATGTTTACACATTTCTTCTGTATTCCCCGTTTAATCAAATGGATGATTTGTACATCCACATGACCACTAAATCGCAGTTATCTATCAAGATTTGCAGCATGTAAATCGTCCACAAATATCTGCATACATATACAATGTACACAAATATGTATGTACTACTTAATAAATGTAGCTATCATCTTAGCGGTGAGTTATTTGCGAATCAAATCCGAGACTGACTGATGAATTGTCTTCTTGTTTTAGGGAAACAGGCGGTGCTTGTGATGAGTTGTGACAATGGGAACATGACTAAGCATTTTATGGTTGAGTCTGGTTTAATTCTGATTTATTCGCATGACATCGAATCTGCAACTATATTCAAATAATTTCAAACTAAATTTATATTCAAATCTTAATACAGAATCGCATTTGCCATATTTGAACAAACTCGCAAACACTTGCAGAACAAAACGCATAAGCAACTACAGCGCCTCACCCCGACTTTCAACGTGTAGCAAAAAACTTATAAATTTTCAATTTGCTTTCTATACATTCCATTTTATTTATTTAAGCGATCTCATTACTATACCCAAAGCCTCTTATATATCTCGGCGTCAACAATTTATTCAGCGCTCTAGCAAACTGCTGCCGCTCCGTTGCCAGTATCTTACCCCCGCTGTGTCCCTTGTCCATGTTCTGTTGTCCTTAAGGATAACAGGAATATATTGCGTATGCGCTATGTGAGCACTTGACATGCATTTTATTTGAAAGCACTGAGACACATCTGCATATAGTGTACCACTACTCGGCAACAGTCATCACTGCTGTCAAGGGTTGACATTCTGTGCCAAGGGACTGTTGGCTATTGGCTTGTTGCTCAGACTCAAAGAAATGATTGTCAGCAGGCTAATCAAAAGCCTTCTTTATTATACGCTTTTGTTATGTGCACAAGTGCACACTTAAGTTTAATTATAAAATAATTCCAATATATATTTTCGAGTGGTTTTTAATATTTACGAGTGCTCATTAAGTTGAGTACCACATAGTTGAGTACGCAATTATTTGAATGGGGCACTAAGTTACAGAAATTTGAAATTTTTGTTATAGAGTGTGCCAAATGTGAGAGTGATTTTTTGGACGACAGAATATGAGGGATGAACAAATAACAAATTCACGTTGTGTATAAAACCTAATTAAAATACCCAAACAAATCGCTAACAACCAAAAATAGACAAGTGCTGTTTAATTAATTTGGACAATACAGTTTCATGCATGCATTGTTCTTGTCCGTTTTCAATATATTTTGTGTTTGTACTACAAAATTAATTATTTCTCAGTTGGACAAAATTGTAAACTTGACAATATTCTATGTTCTCTAACATGCATGTACAAATTATATCGCAATTAATTGCATTTATTGTTCAAACATTCCACAAATCCAAATCTGTGAGATTTTTGGCTGATTTTCGCAAATAATGGTCATTATTATTTGACCTCTAAAATAATACTAAATTTGAATTCAAAACACGATTTTTGCTCAACAATTATGAACAATTTCTAAGCAACAGTTTTCTTTGTTTTATTTTTTATAAGTTCAAATCTGCATCATTGTTATTCAATAAGAGAACTCATCTAGCCACAATGATGATATTGGTTTATTAATGTACCTTTTAAGCAGCTAGTACTGGAATTATCCACACTTCTTTTTCATCTACTGTCTGCGTATGAAATATTGAAGTTCGAATGGCCTTGGCAGCCACATAAATCGTTGGCTATAAGTTTTTGTCTGTTGCTCAGAATGAAAGAAAGTTATTGCTGCTTTTCCGTATTTTTATGTCAATAGTTTTAAAGAATTTATCAGAGTAGTGGGTCAAGAACACATATACAAAAATGGAAGCCACACATACATACATATATGGAAACCTTGCGCGCCATTATCCCAGTAAGTTGTCCTTCATCCACCCGCTGACGTTGATATGTTTGCTAAGCTTAGATTTAGCCTTTGACTCTCAACTATGCACTGTGCGGATTGGCAACTAAGTATTTTAATGTTGGCATTTCACGAGGATAACACATCACATCATTCAGGAGTACGGGAGACGGGTTCCCGAGCTACAGCAAGTTATTTATAAGGCGGTTTTTAAGCTGTCTAAGTGCGACTGCAACTAATACATTTTATGCACCATTGATTAGTGGTCGCTTCACTGACCGCCCCACTTCCCTCCTTTTAATATCCTATATATGTTGCCCTTTCGTTCACTACCCGTCTCTCTCTTTCTCTCTGACCTTCTATTGCTATTATGGCATAATTAATGCCTTCAAGTGCCTCGTGTTGTATGTAAGTTCTGCGTTCTGCGTTCTGCAGCCGGAAACTCGATAAAGCCCCTGCTCTTCCGGCAGAAAACTTGCTCTGAAGCGCTAACATCAACAGGCACTGGCTCGACCCGTTGGGGTCTTTCATCTGCCACGTGGGTCAACAAAAGTGCGCATGGGGCAACTAAGCCCGACCTGGAGTCTACGAACCACTTTCAGCCCACTCTGTTTCTCTGTCGTGTTGGGTACGGGTGCAAAGTGCAAGCTGGAAAGTGCCGTGCCGGGCAAAGGACACTACTAATTCAATTAAATCCGTTCGTATCCATCGGCCAATGAGCCAATTGACCACCAAAAGGGGAGTATGTTGTGTGGGTGTAAGAGCCACGTCCACTGTCCGTCAATAAGAGGCTTAACTGCTGCTGGTTGGCAAACAAAAATTGATAAAGCGCCTAAGAACAAATTAGCGAACAAATACTAATTGTAAACATTGTACCGATGTCAGAGAGCATATTCAGTTGAACTATCAACTCAATTCATGTTAAATGCAATGCCAACTATAAAAGCATATTTCAAATAGTCTTGCAACAAATAATTTTGCTTGCGGCAAGTGCTCAGTGCACAAGGCTTTATGAAATTTACTGCGGAAAGGAGAAAACAGTCGACGAACCTAAGATATAAGATACTTTCAAGTCCTATTAAATCCTTGCTAAATTTATAGTGTTGTTTCAATAAATAAATGTGTCTATTGTCCATCACAGATTGTTTCATATATTGGCCTACTAAATAAATATATGTCGCCTTCGAGGTCATATTGGTTAGGGTCAGCTCGGGTCGTGTTTGTGTAAATTTAGAGCAAAATCAAGAAAGAAAATTTATTTCCAAGTTGTTTAAGAAGAAGACTTAATACTCGTGCATTAAGTGTTGTATATGTACGAGTTTGTTGACGCAAATCAAGGAAAATTATTGACATAGGTCTCACCTTGTTAGAACGGAAAAGATTGAAATTATTGGGGACAGGCTCGGAAAGCTCACACAGACATTTTATATCAGATGTAGTTATTCCACTCATTCCATCACTTTAATTAAGTAGTTTCGCAAATTATAGACTTAAGTAGCCTTAATATTTAGAATGAAGTAATTAGTTGGGTTATAAAATGTATTATATTTATACAAACTGTATTTATATTGGTTTGGCTGTAAAGTTTTGGCACCACTTTTTGTGGGTTTCGTGTAAGGAATTCTTTATTCATCGATTGATTTGTCAATTGACATAAATAATTTGCATTCCTCTGAGACTGGCTGGTTGACAGCTGACACTTAAGTAAGAAGGTTTGTTCGGGATTTAAGCTGCCACTCGGCCAGGTACGCAGCTGTTCGCCCAACAAATTAAAGTTAATGCGGCTCAGAAATAAGCCAGCTCACAGGGAGCATGGTGCAGGGAGCACTCCAATCCTTTCAAGCCAACTGGCAAGGACAAACAAGCGCCAATCCCCATCTTAGACACATTGTGACGACAACTGTCACCATTTAAATAAGATTGATCGATTGGCATTGGTGTCGGCGTTGTTGTCGTTAGCTTTGCTGTTGTTGTTGTTTTCATTGTTGTAGCGTTGCTGAATTTTCACGCACTTTGATTTACATAGAACAAAATGAACGATGTCTCCGATTTGGCCACCTGCTGGCCACTGAACAGTGGTGCGAAGAGTGAAAAACAGTTGAGAGACTCATAGCAGTGTATAAAAACAAAGTTTTACGAATTTCTCTGGTTAAGCTATTTAATTAATTCACTGAATGATTAAATGGTAATGGTAAAATGAAGATGTGTTTATTCAAACCTAAATAAAAAAAATCTGTCTCATGGCAACCATTAAATTGGAAATTAAAAAAAAATTGGCTCATGGCAACCATTAAATTGCATTGTTTTCGACCAATAAGAATCCATTACAATCAGAATATACTAAAAAAAATTACGAGCATATAGGGTTTACATGAAGTTGCCAGCACTAAGCAAACTCTTCTCCTTAAATTGGCCAATCGATTAAGATGAAGTTTAGTGCTGTGTTAGATAACATTGTTGGTATGAAGCATTCTGTAAGCGAATTTTAGTTTGCGTCGCAAAACTTGTAAATGCAACGAAAACCCATTTTGCATTTTATGCTTTTTAAGTGCAAGCTTAAGACTTATGACTTGGTTTCTGGGAAGTACTTCGTTTATACTTTTGTATTTCGCAAAACTTTTATTTGCTTAAGTAACTTAAAATTTGGGTCTTTCGTAGATGTACTTAATAATTATGTTTGAGAAAAGCTGTATCGAAATTTTGTTAGTTCAAGTTAAATTAAATTTATATACAAATAAGTACATGTCTGATAGGATAAAGAATCTGGAGATTCTAGATTTCAGATTCTAGAAATTTTCAAACAGATTTAATCTTTATCATACTAATAAATTGTAAATTATAGCCTTAAAAATTAAAGTTCAGAAAAAACTTCCCAAACTACTAATAATTATGAAATAAATAAAATAATCATAAGACATTAATTTAATTTTAATTTGGTAGGACTTCAATTTAGCCATGTGTTTATGTAAGATATGAGTACTACTAGTAAGCCTATGATATATGAGTACTACTAGTAAGCCTATGATATTATAGTTGTTCAAGCAGCATCAAAAAATATAGTAAAGCTAAATCGTCCCATTTATCTGTAAGTTTTCCTTAACAGGCTTGACTTTAACTGCCTTGCTGAATTATTTAGTATTTTGTCACTGTGTGGCTCGACTGGCTGCTGTGAAATTGTTGCGCGACAAATTGTTGGACTTCCGTTTCGGCTTTGGACTTAGGCTTGTTTACTGCTGGTCAGTGGGCAGTGAATATCACACTAGGGGTGCATAACAAATCATTTAGTGGCTGTCATTCAATGGCTTAATCAGCTCTACGCGATAGACTATAAAAATTGTTGCGCTCCTTGGTGAAGGCATCAGTTGTCCTGCGACTCTAACGGGTTGCGCATTATCCAGGAACTAGTCGTGTCTATTGCCAAGTGCCGTGTCGTGTCGTGAGTCCTTTGTGGCGCTCGCAAAAACTACAACGCCTTACGATCAACTTGGCCAACAGCAGCAGCAGCAGCCAGCCACGCCAGCTATGTTTAGGCTAAGTAATTGCACTTTGCTGCTGATTGCAGCGTCCTGTTACCTGGTCTACTCTAGCCAAGCTAAAGCTTTGCAGGTGAGTGGGCAGCCTAGTTGGGAGCGATAAGATCATATCACAACTCGTACACAACTTAATTAGTTTTCTTTGCTTAAGGTATTTGTTATACAAGCAAAAGTAGTCAAAGTAAATCAAATCAATTATCATAGTATAGGAAATATGCGATGGGCAAATAGCTTTTGAGGAAATCGTTGAGGCGATTGAATAAATCAATTTCCAATTGTCATTGCCAGTGCAATGTCAAACGAATTCCATACGCTGACATCTTGCAAGTTGTAATATTTTGCTCATGATTAAATTTCATTTGACTTCATCTTATGCTCTTGAGTAGGCAGCTCGGTAATTGTGCATGTGCTTATGGCCAAGATACAAGTTACAAGCGGATTTGAGGTGTTGGCATTTCAATTCACATTGAGTTGTCTAATCAAGCGGCACACGCTGCCTGTCAGCCTGTAAATTGAAACAATAAAGTGTTTGACTCACACACGCACACTCACGCACAAACACTGGGTGGGGCACTTCTGAGTGCGTTGTGTGTGTGCAGCTCACGTAGGCTCATAAATAGGCAGCATAAAAATAACTTAACACGTGTCGACAGTTTGAAAGCCGCCAGGAACGATATGGAAAGCCTTGCCGCAGGCAAACGAAAAAAAAAACACAAAAAATGAAAGAATAAATAAATAAAAGGGCCTTGAATCAAATATTTGAAATATTCTTGCTGTTTTTCTTTTGTTTTGTTTCCTCGTGCTGTTTTGCGGCACTTCATTTGCGCAGGACGCAAACAAACTGGATTTAGCAAATCGCATCAGCGGCATCAGTGCCGTTTCTGCCCGAACCGCTGCTGCGGCGGAAGCACGCCACAAGCGTGCAATGGGCGCCGAATATAAAGAGCTAAACGACATCATTGACGAGCTGGAGGAGAACAGTTTGGTGCAAAAGGCGAACGCGGCGGTGTCGCCAACTCAGTCGCAAGAATTCGACCTGGATAACATGCCACCGTTGACCTACTACCTGCTGTTGCAAAAGCTCCGACAGCGTAAGTATTGAGCGCATGCTGCGTATAAGTAATGTGTCCTTATGACAAGATGCTTGGAAAGTAATTCAAATATACCCAGCTAGGAATTACCCGCACGGTTGAGAGAAATTGATTTCCTTCAAATAAACTTGTCTCTTGTTTTAAAGTTGAGAAATTTATGAAATAAGTGAAATATGAGTGCTCAATTCCAAGAAATTGCTATTTACTTTTGTGTTGCCTTAGTGATTGTCTCATCTTCAGCGTATGCCCCAAGGGCACAGAAATATTGTGAAAAATCTGCTTTAAAATCAGATTTTAAATATTATTTTAGTAAGTGCTTAAGCACTTTGTAAGCCATAAATGAGATGAAAATCTTAATCTTATTTTATACATTTATTTTTATTCATTTTTTATTGCTTAAATGCACGAAAACTTTGTTGTTTGAAAATTCAAATTTAATAAGTGAAATTTTACCGATTTGTGTTTTTCGAGACTCTAGAGAAGTATTATTTTTTTCCCTCTATTCTTCTGGGATGGTTAAAAAAGTTTATAATTATTTTTTAGCTTTTGAAAAATATGCTTGTAACTGTAAGTTTCGTCAGCAAATTGTTTGCAATTCCTTTCGCATGTGCTAGTGTATGTATGTGTGTGTGTATGTATGTGTGTGTGAGTGTGTGTTTAATTCGTGTTCTTCTTTATACTCCTGCAGTGCAGAGCAGCGGCGAACCAGCGTATCGCGTGCGCACGCCACGCCTTGGACGCAGCATTGACTTTCAGCAGTTCTTGGGTAGCGGCAGAGGGGGCAGCGAGGAGGCAACCGGGGGGCAGTTTGTGTCGCGCATGATGAAGAAATCGGTGCCATTCAAGCCGCGCCTGGGCAAACGTGCTCAAGTGTGCGGTGGCGGAGATTAAGCCATGGCACTAACAGTAACAGTATCATCAATGCGACTGGGACTACGAGGGCGGCAAGGACGAGCCCTTGCACAAGGTTGAGGCCAGCCATTGGCGGTTTGCCAGCTCCACTTAAACTACTCACATAACGCCCCAAAATCGACGATAGCAAATAATCTACTTAATCGTATTAAATATATTTGTATAGCTAGGCCCAAGTTCTGAGAGAAAACTTTGTATACGCTATAAAATATTTGTTTAAATAAATTGCAGACCCTTGAAAACTTTAATTGTTGTTCGTGCTATGGCAAATAATCGTATGAATTGATAAGTGAAATATATACACTTGCTCAACATATGTATGTGTTGATGTGATTTATTTTTGGTTGTATAAGTGTAAAATAATAAAATTTTCATTAAAGTATATCAGATAATATGAAAGCAGCTGCTGCGGTTGTAAGCGAATTGTGGCATGAGGTCTGATTTCCTGCAATTTCGATAACCAAATGTGAGGGCTTCATTCATGTATATGTATATGGTACATATGTGGTATACACTACATACATAAGTGCTTCTCATTAGCAGGAATTGCATTTATGTTTTTGACTGCTAATTGGGAATCATGCTACTCAAGTAAATAAACAAATTTTCCATTTGCTATGAAATTGTGCTCCAAGCAATAGCAACATCATTTCCATAGTTCATTATAAACTAATTTTTGAACAAAATATTTGTTAACTCAGCAGTGCAGTATAATTTTCAATTTCAAGCTTTGCTATGAATTACAGTTCTAAAGACCAATTTGAAAATTCTAATAGAAACAAAAACTAGTTACAATTGCTTACTAACATTTTCAATTATGGACCAAAGCCTATTTCCATTGTTCAATAAAAATATATCGTTGAATAAAATATTTGTCTTACATTTCTGTACAAACATTTTCAATTATGGCACAAAGCTTTGCTACGAATTCTAATTCAAAGGCATATGTGGAATATTTCTATAGTTCAAAATATATGTACTATTATTGAACGTGAAAACTATTTAAAATTTTGCTAAAGTACTTTCTAGATTGTAACTTTTGGATTGATAGCACAATTAAATTCAATAAAATAATACATTAAAAAAATATTCATGTATCAAATATACAGATTACATAATTTGCAAGTGAAATGAAAATATAGAAAAATGATGAAAAATGAAAGACAATAGTTCCGACATAATTCCAGATAAATATATTGATTTCAAGTACATATGCAAAAGTAGTACTCTGCCTGCTATATGGTAGAAATTGTAAAATATTATAAGCTATTGCCGCTCACAAAAACTTTAACACAAATACAAACATCCTCTACTTGGTATGAATAGGCAACAATTTAGTCTCTTAACATGGTTGCAGCACAGGTATTCCTTCAACATTGGGATAAGTGGGTAAAATTATTGAAAGAGCTGCACTTGTGCTTCGCTTGAGTGGCTTAATTGGCAAATGCGTAGCAAACAGAATCCATTAGACTGCTCAGCCAGCTACTGCTGCAGCTTGAACTTTAAGCAAGTCATTGGAGACTCTGCACGTGCCAATTAGCGCCAAAGGGGGCAGAGTTTAATCCTCCAATCAGTGGAAACCTTAGTCATTGTTAGTTGATGCCTAGCACAATTATAGGCTGTCATTTGACCGAAATGCGGGCGGTAAAGGTTAACGGGTCATATTTATCCACTCTTCTCTCAAATCGCCTTAAGTTCGACAAATGTATGACAAATGCCGCAGACGTCACGTAGCCGTCGACCAACGACCGACAATAAATGAGCAGCCCATGGAGCACCTAATAGTATTTATATATCTAGTTGAATCGTTTCTAAAATGGCGCTAATGGGTACGCAAGCCGCACACAAACAAAAACATACACACACACACAGCTACAGGGGCAGAGAGAGAGAGAGAGAGGGAGAAAAAACATGATATTGAAACATTACAACTGCAAAATGGTAATAAATTTTGGAACGCCTCCTGGGCAAGAGAAGAAGGCCGCGACAGAGAGACACGCACGAGGCTTAAGCTGGAGCTGGCAGGAACTTTGCATGATGGCCGTAAATTTACAGCTGGGTCGTTGCGTAAGGTTAAACGGGCTGAACATCAGCTGCCACTGTGTCGGCTTCCTGCCTACTACGTGCCACAGCCCACTCACACACTCAGCCACTCATATACTCATCCACTCATACACACATCACATCCGCACATGCATATAACATGGAACATGATAAGTTTTGTGTGTCTGTCTGTCTGTCTGTATGTGTGTGTATGCCGAAATCACTTTGCCTGATTAAATGACGCAAACCAGCAGCAGCAGCAGCAGGAGCAGCAACAGAAGAAGCAGGCGCAGTTATTCAGTTAGCATGCACCTTGGCCAAAATGAATGCCAGCCATTACGGTGAATTGTTAAAAATGTCTGGCTAATATAAGCTGGGCCCGATCTCAGACGTCTCGCCTTGCTCTTGTGCATTCGACCCTTATTTATTGTATTTAAGCAACTGATTTAAATTGATGACCACATTTGCCAGGTCGGCAGCTGCTTGCCACTCACTTAATCAAATTTCAGCCATGCAAAAAGCCCTCAAATTGGCTTCTGTACTACATACATACGTATAAGGTACACACAAAAGTAAAGAACGCTATTTATTTCATTTTCGAACGACATGCCACGCATTTGTGGGCACTTTGATGACTTCACCAACATCCCCCCTCCTCCCACACACACACACACACACACACATTACCCGCATAAGGAGAGTACCCGCCTGTCGCAATTTTCGTATCAGATTTTAATTAATGGCAATGCAGGCAACCTCTGACAATTGCCCGTGGCTACCACACAGATCTGTGGCAGCCGATTATCTGATGAGTCTGTTACGCATTCCGTCGATGCCTGACTTTAGTTTGCATCCTTTGATTTTGCAATTGTTTTAATGCTCGCATCTCTCAAGTGTCACAGATAGAATACCCTTTGTTGCTTCGACTGTCAATTAAATGACTACTGGACTCTGTCATAGGTAATATTCAAAGATAGCATGAGTATACTGGCAATGGCTTCCGCGACCACAGAGGAATGAGAGTGAATTTTGATTTGCTGCTGATTTTGAATTAGATATTCGAGCTTGGATATTTGTTTGCACATTTAATGCGAATCAAATTGAAGAAACAGTCAGACTATTAATGATTTAATATTTCATGAAACTTAGCTCTGCCTTTTTCTGGTTTACATAAAACGACCACACAACTACAATAGTTGATTACCAAACCCTCCGACTGCATAATAGTCTAAGTTTAGATTAAAATAAGTTTTTAGGGGAAAATCTCTGTTTCCTCTGTTTGTGCCACATAAGTTTATATGGAATTTGTTGACCTCATTTTTTTAATTGTGGTTTATCAAGGTTGCAGTTGTTGTTAGATTGGGCAATGTGAAAATAAGTATCGGCAGAGATTTAAAACATAGATTTACACATTTTTAGCTTAAATATTTGAATATCTATTTTTTTTTACATTGTTTTCCTTTTTGCTGGTTGCTGTAAAGTATCTTTCAAGGCAGTGTATTAAATGCGATTCAAGAGCATTTGGCTAACTACAATATTTTTAAAAAGTGTCACCAAAATAGTGCCAGCAGCGGAAAATAGCAAATCGGTAAAGCTCGATGCTGAGTTGCACTTTGTTGTTGTTGTTGTTGTTGTTGTTGTTGTGACATGTTGTTTCCAAAACAACTACAATCAATGCATGCAAAAGACGACAGGTAGACGCCTTTGGCACTTCACTTTATGAAACATAAATAAACTTTTTTTTTCTAATTTCAGACTTTGTGGTAGTTCTTCGAGTTGCTGGCTTGCAATGCAGTGTAGTCCTTTTTCAAAGTGAAAATTCAACAACCACAAAACGTCCACTCGTCCACACACACACACGCCCAAAGTCATTGAAAATGTTCGGGTGCTGCTGCTTCTGGCGGTTCCCAGGTCAGGCAAAATAAGAGCGTGACAAACCCAATCGAAAATCAAATTTGGCATCGAGGACAATGGCAATGGCAGTGACATTGCTAACTGCAACTCTAGTTCTAGTTGTTATTGATGTTGTTGTTGTTGTTGTGGTGGTGGTGGCTGTCGTTGACGTTGCGTCAGCATGCAACACTTTGTGGCTCGCGAAATGACTTTGCATATTTTTGGTGCTGCTCGGAAACCAGAGTTGGCAGATTAGCAAGCGTGATAGCCTCTTTTGACTGGGCCATCAATCATCAATTTGGCCGAAACGCATTTTGTTTAATTTGTGTCAATTAGGCAAACATTTTGCGGTGATTGTAACAAAGCAGGCAAACAAGGAAATTACATGCCGCATCAGTTATATATAATGCTGCGCCAGCAAACCGATAATCAATGTGCATAAGACCAGAGTCAGAGGCAGCTTCAAAGCCAGAGCCATCCAATGTCAATCGATATCAATAAGCTGGCGCCGTTGCGTTTGCAACCAGCCAGTCAGTTAGTCAGCCAACTGGTTGCTGCCCTTGAAGTTGGCAAGGAAATCGTTTTCAATTACGACAATGCTCTAGCAACTATTCCGGAATGCCCTTGCCCTGTCAGCGGGTGTGAGTGACAGCCCAACTGGCATTTTGAAAGACGAAGCAGCGATTGGGCTTATAAATAAATATTTGTTCGATTTCATTTGCCAACTGCTGCTTCTGCAGAAATCATCCGCTGCACGATGTGTGTAATAAAGCACATACAAATCAAATTCAAGCCCCTAAACACCCACACCCGGCAGCAGTGAACCCCAAAAGACCATTAATTGTATCAGTATAATGTACGGGCCCAAGAGAATTGCCTCCCACAAAAAATATAAATAACATGCATGCTAAACACGTCAAGAGGCGGCGGGTAATAAAAAAAATTAAATAAGCTTGCACGCGAACAGGCAAATGATATAAGCGATCAAGTAACAAACATAAGTCCCTACATTAATATTAATACATACATATTGTATACATGTTATGGATGTACAAATAATACAGAATGCTTAGAATATTAATTTGAAATTTGAGCTCTGTAGAAATGTTCTTTATGAATTCAACATTACAGCTTAAATCACAAATGCTGTTTCTTACAAAATAAATAGTTTGCTTCTGAAATTTTACTTAATAAAATAGTTTATTAGTTGTTAGCTTATTTAAAATATGTTACCATTAAGAACACTGTCTAAATATTAATATACGTCAGCTAAGCCCGTAACCTGCGCATAGTTTTTGTGCATAACTTTTCT